TGCCTGGAACAAAAGGAGACTCTGTCTCAAAAAAAAAAAAAAAAAAAGTGGTCTGTATACACCATGAATACTATTTATCCATAAAGAAGAATGAAATCTAGCCGGCGGCGTGGCTCACGCCTGTAATCCTAGTCTCTGGAGGCCGAGGCGGCGCGATGCTCAAGGTCAGGAGTTCAAAAACCAGCCTGAGCAAAGCGAGACCCGTCCACTATAAACAGAAGAAATTATTGGCCAACTATATATATAGAAAAATTAGCCGGCAGGTGGTGCATGCTGGAGTCCAGCACTTGGGAGGCTGAGACACAGAGTCGCTTGAGCCAGGGATGAGTGCTGTGAGCTGAGGCTGACGCCTGGCACTCATCTAGCCTGGGTAACAAAGTGAGACTCTGTCTCAAAAAAAAAGAAGAATGAAATCTTGTCATTCACAGCAACATGCATGGATGGAGACATTATGCCAAGTGAATAGGCCAGAAACAGAAGTTAAACACTGCATATTCTCACTCATATGTGGAAGTCAAAAAGCTGATCTTATTGAGTACAGTGTAGAGAAGAGGTATTTTTTTATTTTATTTTATTTTTTTGAGACAGAGTCTCGCTTTGTTGCCCAGGCTAGAGTGAGTGGCTGTGGCGTCAGCCCGAGCTCACAGCAACTCAAACCCTGGGCTCCAGTGCCTTCTGCCTCAGCCCCCGAGTAGCTGGGACTACAGGCATGCGCCACTTAGCCCGGCTAATTTTATATATATCAGTGGCCAATTAATTTCTTTCTATAGTAGAGACGGGTCTCGCTCTTGCTCAGGCTGGTTTTGAACTCCTGACCTTGAGCAATCCGCCCGCCTCGGCCTCCCAAGAGCTAGGATTACAGGCGTGAGCCACCGCGCCCGGCTGAGAAGAGGTTATTGAACGTTGGGAATGGAGGGATAAGGAGAGATTTGGTCGAAGGTACAAAATTACAGCAGATAGGAGGAAATAAGCTAGTATTCGATATCACGTAGGATTACTGTAGTTAACAGTATACCTTCAAATAGCTAGAAGGAAGATATTGAATATTCCCAACACAAAGTGAATATGATTAGGACATGCTAAACACCCTGATCTAATCGCCAGACATATTTATTGAAACTGTTAGGCTGGACCAAAAGGAGACACAGGAAGTGTGAGGCAAGCCAAAAGGCTGTTATTGAAGCATTGGGAACTCCTGAGCTCAAACTATCCGCCCACCTCGGCCTCCCACAGTGCTGGAATGACAGGTGTGAGCCACCACACCTGGCCAGGATCTCTACTTGATTGTGCTTCTGGGAGCCTTTACTGAGGCTTGTGGCAAAAGCCCGTGAGCACCTCCCAGTGACGACTGCTGGGACTTTGAGCGAGAGAATGTCCCCACGCGAGGGGGACATTTGGTAAGTGAACTGAAGCTCCCGCGTGGCCGAAGGACAAACAATGATCTGGACACCTGCAGGTGCCTGGAGGTCTTGGGCGATGTCAGAGAAACACTCACGGGAGCAGCACTGCCCGGATGCAGTCCCCCTCTGCATGGCTGTCATTTCACGGGTCCACGGGGCCACCTGCAGTGTCCACACATCTGTTCCTATCGTCTTCCGGTCCTGGAAGGGACCTTCTCTGGTGGGCAGCAAGACCTCATCTCTTAAAAAAAAAAAAAAGAAAAAGAAATTGGGGGGAAAAATTGCTAAGACTTCGCAAGTTTCTACCCCGTGCCTGTCAACATCCTAAGCCCTCGGCCCATCTCACTCTGGTCCAGGACTATTATTCTATTATTCCCACTATTATTATTACTAGTTTCAGATGAGAACATTGAGGCAGATAGTTCCTAACAATATTTCTTCCTATACTTTCTGCTCTTTGTCAGACCCCAGAAGAGGCATTTCTGTGTGGATTTTCTTGTAAGGATTAAAACAAAAAAAACCCAGTGCTTCCCTTTTGTAGATAGTTTTCAAGACTTTGGGAGGGGACAGCGCCTGTGTGGGAGGTGGCGGCCACTGCAGCTACCAGGCCGTGCTCGGGGGTACAATGCAGAGGCGGTGAGGTGTGGGCTACCCGGGGTGTGGGCAGCGGCAGGATGGGGTGCGTGTTTTCAGGAAAGGGGCATGCTGTGACAGGCGCCCCTGTGGGATGGATTTCATGTAACAAAGGCGAGGTGGGGGGAGTTTGTGAAGCCAGACCCCCTTGCTCTTCCCCGGGGTCAGCCGATCAGCTGAGGAATTTTGCACAAGTGATTTCATTCTTCTTTTTATTTATTTATTTATTTAGATTTTGTAAAGAATAGTCAAGTGCAGTAGTGAAAAGGGGGCAAAGAGTGGAACAAGGAGTTCCATCTGTAACTGACTGTGAGCAATCCAGTGAGACATCTCTCTACCTTCACACGGCCCTGATTTCATGCTTGCCTCAGTTTCCCTCTTCTTGGAAAAGGAGATGGGGATCTCTATTTCTCTTTTTTTTTTTTTTTTTTTTTTTTTGTGAGTGATGGCGTCAGTCTAGCTCACAGCAACCTCAAACTCCTGGCTCAAGCGACTCCTCCTGCCTCAGTTTTCCGAGTAGCGGGACTACAGGCATGCACTACCATGCCCGGCTAATTTTTCTTAATATATATTGTGGCCAATTAATTTCTTTTCTATTTATAGTAGAGACGGGGGGTCTCGCTCTTGCTCAGGCAGGTTCGAACTCCTGACTTGAGCAATCCTCCCTCCTCAGCCTCCCAGAGTGCTAGGATTATAGGCTAGAGCCACCGCGCCCGGCCGCAAAATTTCTAAAATAATAGTGGAGTTAATCCTGGTTACTATTTGAAGAACACATTAAGCAGAAGCCAAAAGAAATGAGGGTAGATTGATGAGGTCATTCAGGTAACTCAGGGCCTAGAAAATGATGGCCAAGGAGATGACAAGAAAAATAGGCCCATTTGTTGACAGTGACTAAATCTCAGTCGCTGAGCAAACTAAAAATCAAACCAAAAAGTAGCAGGGAGCAACAAGGCCCAGGCTTTCATGCAATTTTTTTTTGTTTTGGAGACAGAGTCTCGCTTTGTTGCCCAGGCTAGAGTGGTGCCATGGCATCAGCCTAGCTCACAGCAACCTCAAACTCCTGGGCTCAAGCGATCCTCCTGCCTCAGCCTCCCGAGTAGCTCGGACTACAGGCATGCGCCACCATGCCCGGCTAATTTTTCTATATATATTAGTTGGCCAATTAATTTTTCTATTTATAGTAGAGACGGGGTCTTGCTCTTGCTCAGGTTGGTTTCGAACTCCTGAACTCAAACGATCCGCCCGGCTCGGCCTCCCAGAGAGCTAGGATTACAGGCGTGAGCCACCGCACCCGGCCTGGGGATCTCTATTTGATGAGGTAACGCACAAACTATCTCTTTGCTAAGAGTGTGCTACGCTGTTTTACAATACAATTCCTCCCACAAGGATCCACTGTGCCTCTTCATGAGGTGGGGAAATCAAGGTCAGATCAACTGCTCAAGTCAATAGGTCACCAACAGAGGAAGCTGGGTGCCAACTGGGTTCAGGTGTCTCCCAGGGTCCCCCTCTCTGGACCAGCACGAGCCCCAAGCATAGGCTCAAAGTTTCACATGTAACCTCTCTGTCTTCTGCTTTGGTCTCCTCTATATCCTGAACCCTTCCTTTTCTTCCTACTTACTTGACTTACTCTGGGATTTTATTTTTTAACCTGATGTAGAAAAAGAGTATCTTTCTGAATGCTTTAACCATTCTTATCCTGTCCTTCGTTTTATTGTTGTTAAAGAGACAGTCTTTGGCCAGTACGTGGCTCATGCCTGTAATCCTAGCACTGTGGGGAGCGACCTGTGGATTGCTCCAGGTCAGGAGTTCGAAAGCAGCCTGAGCAAGAGCGAGACCCATGTCTCTACTATAAATAGAAAGAAATGGCCAACTAATATATTATAGAAAACAATTAGCCGGGCATGGTGGCCATGCTGTAGTCCCAGCTACTCGGGAAGCTGAGGCAGGGAGGATCGCTTGAGCCCAGGAGTTTGAGGTTGCTGTGAGCTAGGCTGACGCCACGGCACTCACTCTAGCCTGGGTAACAAAAGTGAGACTCGGTCTCAAAAAAAACCCAAAACATCACTCTAGCAAAGCTATGTCAAAAAACACCATTACCCCGGATGGACAAGCTGAGCCAGCCCTGCTCAGAGTCAGGTGCGCGGGGCCCACAGGATGTCCATCCGTGGGAACCCTGTTGGGTGGACCTCAGCACTCGTCACGCCGACTAAAGGGGACACATAACAACCGGGGATGGGACATAATCACACACTTCAAGCCTTTAGCCCAAATGGTGCCATTCTCCAATTAAAGAAGACATCCCTCAAAGGGATCCAAGCTCCCGGCCCAAGTGTGCATAGCCGGCTGGGCGTGCACAGTCGGAGACGCGAGCGCATGCGCACACGCACACGCATGCGCCAGGGTGGGGGACCTGGTGGGGGCGGCTGGCGCGCTATCAGGCACTGGCGTCTAGACCCTGGGGCGCCAGTCGTGGAGACTGGGCCATGGTCGTGGGGGTGGCGGGGGACCCGTTGTCAGGGACAGAGCGGAGAGCCGCGGCCCGTCGGCGTTAGCATGGAGGAGTCGCCGTCTCCGACCTCGCTGGCCGCGAGACCTGGGCAGGTAAGAGCCCCGGATTGGTCCGCCGGGTCCCACGTCTCCCCAGTGGGACGACAGTGTCTTCTTCCCCGACGTGCAGGCGGCGACGCGCTGGCACCGGGTCTGGCCCGCAGGTGGCGCCGGACGGAGCCCGCTCCCGCGTGGCCGTCCCCAACCCAGTCGGGTGCGCGCGCGCTGTGCGGGGCTGGGCCCGGCCGGGACAGCACCCCTCGCAAGGATGCAAAAAAAACAAACCAGTTCTTACTAATTTCATTATGTAGTTTTCTTTTTATTTAGTTTACTTCAGCATATTATGGGGGTACAAATGCTTCTGAAACCCCTGGCCTCTACTGCAAGCCTGTCTGCCCCTTGCGTTCTCCTGCCTGGGAATCATGGCCTGTGGCCTTTCACGTCCGGCGCCTGCCTCTCCCTGCTCCGTAGAAGTGAACAGCCGACGACATGAGGGCCGAGGCGTGCGGAGCCCGCCTGGGATTCCACAATGGGATACAGGCAGTAAATGTTAGGGTCGTGGCAGCAGCCAAAGTGGACTATTCTGTGGCCAAGGAAGACATCCACAGGGCCCTTGACGCTGGGGTATAGGCTCAGATGGTATGCCGGAGCCTGGTGGCCTCTGTAGACGAGGCCTACAGGATAGGTGGGGTTCGGGGGCCTGGGCTGCGGGTCCACAGTACCCTGGCTGGGAGTGGTCTTGTTTGCAGCCTCAGGTGCCGGTGGCTGTGGAGGAGGGGCTTGCTTCGGCTGCACCGTCTTGCTCTTTGCTTTCTTCAGTTTTGCTCTGTGGTTCTTGAACCAAACCTGCGGAGAGAAGAGGGGAACGCTGTGGGTCAGTGAGCGGGCTGAGATTCTGGGAGAGTTTGCATTCTGCTCAACAGCTGGGTGCTTCTAGGTGGGAAGAGCTGGCTCCACAGCTTGGCCTTTTATATCCAAATTGCGGGACTCTCTCCCCAACCTAGTCTCAGGAAGGAGCGGAAGTAAGATTGTGGGGACAGAAACTGAGGCGGGGACCAGAAACTCTAGAACAGGGGACTGGAGAGCAAAGGGGTCAGGCCCGGGGATGCCCGAGGGCTGAGGGCAGGAAAGGGAGGTTCGTGGGCTCCATTTATATATATATATAATGTTTTTTTTGAGACAGAGTCTCACTATGTTTCCTGGGATAGAGTGAATGCTGTGGCGTCAGCCTAGCTCACGGCAACCTCAAACGCCTGGGCTCAAGCGATCCTCCTGCCTCAGCCTCCCGAGTAGCTGGGACTACAGGCATGCGCCACCATGCCCGGCTAATTTGTTCTATATATATTAGTTGGCCAATTAATTTCTTTCTATTTATAGTAGAGGCTGGGTCTCGCTTTTGTTCAGGCTGGTTTCGAACTCCTGACCTTAAGCGATCCACCCTCCTCGGCCTCCCAGAGTGCTAGGATTACAGGCGTGAGCCACTGCACCCGGCCTAGAGTTTATATTTTTAAATGGTTGCAAAAAACAAACAAACAAAACAAACACAATAAGAATACTATTTTGTGGTGTAAAAATCTTATGAACTTCAAATCTGTGTCCATAAAATTTTATGGGAGCAAAGGTAGACCCCGCTTGTTTGCACATCCGTGGCTGCTTTTGCACCATGACGGCAGAGTGGAAGAGTTGTCAGAGAGACAGCTCGACCCACAGAGCCGAGGCTATTTACTCTGTGGTCCTTTACCGAAAAAATCTGCTCGTCTTTGCCCTGCGGGCTGGTAGACGGGATCATGGGGTGGGGATTGGAGTCTGAGGGGATTAGAGTGGTGTCCGCTCTCAGGAGTTATGCTGGGGGTCGGGGAGGGGCTCAGCGAGTGCGGCATGACTTTCCCACCTGCAGAACCGTCGGGTGTATGTCAATTTTTGAGGCCATCTCTCTCTGAAGGCTGGGGTTTGGGTATGGGTTCTCATTGAACAGCATGTTCAAAGCTTCCAGTTGCTTCTCGGTGAACATGGTTCGCTTTCTGTGCGGATGCACCTGGTGCGTGCCTGGAGAAAGGAGAGAAAGGCCCAGGTGGGAAACGGCCAACAGCTCTGTTCTCGAAACCCCGAGCGGCCCCTGCCTCTGCGCAGAGGTAAAGCCCGGCAGTCCACTGACTGAGGGGCTCAGCATTTTTTCTTTTAGTTTTTATTTTCCATTTATTTATTTATTTTTTGAGATAGAATCTTGGCTGTCTGGAGGCTGAGGCAGGAGGTTCCCTTGAGCCCAGAAGTTCCAGGCTGCAGTGAGCTGTGGTCGCACCACTGCACTCCAGCTTGGGTGACAATGTAAGACCCTGTCTCTCAAAAACAAATAAAAAATTGAAAAATTTTTTAAAGTATAGAAAGGACACAGATACTCAATAAGTCTAGGCCAGGCGCGGTGGCTCATGCCTGTAATCCTAGCACTCTGGGAGGCCGAGGTGGGAGGATCCTTTGAGCTCGGGAGTTCGAGACCAGCCTGAACAAAAGTGAGACCCAGCCTCTACTATAAATAGAAAGAAATTAATTGCCCAACTAAAAATATATATAGGAAAAATTAGCCGGGCATGGTGGCGCATGCCTATAGTCCCAGCTACTCAGGAGGCTGAGGCAGGAGGATGCTTGAGCCCAGGAGTTTGAGGTTGCTGTGAGCTAGGCTGATGCCAGGCACTCTAGCCTGGCAACAA